TCAAATAGCTCATCCTTGAAGTCACTCTGATTTCACTCCTTAAGTGACAAATCATCAAAATTGGAGAGAATTTAAATAACTAAAATTCTATGATTCATAATTAGTATTGATCTATTCATTCATCTTAATTTTTATTTAATTTAGTTCTTAAAAAATAAAAAATAAATAAAAAATAAATGATATTAGGAATTAGTAGTTAAGTCTTATTCACCATCTAAGGGCTATAGAATTGTTGGTCATGTGAGAAGTAGTCAAGTGAGTGTCCCGGATTCAAATCAAGTTGGAAAAATGGGCTATTCCAATGAACTAGTATTAATGCAAGAAAGACCAATATTGCACACTCAATGGATATATAGGCCTTTTAGGCTTGATACTAAAATCTTCTCATGTTGAGAAAAAGTCCTAGGATACCACTTTTTTAATTCTTAGTCCTAGTTCTTTTTTTTCTAAAATCTTTAGTTTTTTAAAGATAAGATTTGAGTTTCTTTTATCTTTTTTGCTTAAAGCTATAAAATAAAACTTACTTTAATTTTCTTAGATTAGTAGCAACTCACTCATTCTTGTATTGGATAGTTATTAAAATCTTCCATAGACAAATCTTCTTTTTATTCAATAGCATTTTGAGAGGTCGATTCTAGGTTCTTCTCCTTTGCAAGTCGTCTTAGAGGGTCACCATGTATGAATCATCAAATTCACTCACTAAATATTTCAAAACAAAAGAATACATGTAGAGTGCCTAAATTATAATTTTTAGTTGAAGATGTGCTTAGAGGATGTTAAATATAAGAGAATGTATTAGTGGAAAAGAAATGGTGTCTTAGTAAGTCTTTGAGGCGATTATTTTAGTTGGTTTAGGATTTTTATTTATGTTGAATAATGAGTATTAGTTATTAAGATCAATATCTATATTAAAATTTTATTTATATGTATTATTTATAAAAAAAACTATAAATATTAATTAATAGTTAGAAGAAGCATGAGAAAGAACCTCATGTCTTTTCAGTTATTTATATAAAAAGTAGGATGTATCAAAGTTTTAAATTGATTTTATTATTATAAAAAATAATCAAGGTAAGAAAATATAGCTTCAAATTGATTTTGATATTATCAAAATATTATAAGAATTTTTAGAATTTATTTAGAATATTTTAGGAATTTTTAAGATATTGGTAAAAATAGGTTTTACCACTTCAAAAACCATTATGAAGAAATGGAGTAAGATTTGAAGGCCACATCAACCTCTTAGGCTAATTGGATGTTTTTAAAAACCATGGTAATCAAAAATGAAATTTTTTTGGTTTTATTAGTAGAAAATAAGAGGACCAGCAGTTAGTATAGTTCTTATAAGAAGGGAGGTGCACAAGTCCAAAATAGATTGTAGGACCTTGAAGATAGTTAGAAAGATAAGACTAAGGCCTCGTGGCCTCTATTAAGAATCTATGTACACTACTTGTGAGCCTTAGTGAGGCTTCAAGACTTGATCTCTTAAACAAGTTATCCTTGAGGTAAAATTATTTACTTGACTTAATATATATTCACTTATTAATTTTCAATCCTTCATAACTTATTCATAGTAATTCGGATTTACATGTTTCTTATACCAATAGAAAGATAAAAAAATATTAATTTTCTAAAAGTATATTTTTTACTTTTACTTTTTATTTTTTACAAAGTAAAAACTCATTGAACAGACTATGACTAATTTTATAGTATATAATTCCTTGATTGCATTTGTTCCACTTATTTTATGATTTTCTTCTTTAATTCTTATTCTTGCTACTTTCACTTCATACTACCCATTATAAGCAACTCGTACTTGAGGCGATCTTGTAATTGAATTAAGGAGTGAATTTTATACTCAAAATATACTTCTAAGAAAAACTTTAGATCAGGGAGGAGTTGTGAATCCTTTTCTATCAAAGGTATAAACCAAAAAAAAATACTCTTAGATAGAAGTACATCTATAAATCTAACTTAAGTAAATCTATGAGGATATTGGAAAAGATACAAGCTTAAATAGAGCTTGATTTGTTATAAAAATCCTTGAAACTTTGATCTTGTTTCATCAAAATTTTCTAACATACTTATCTTTGTTTTCTTCATATTTACAATAATAAGACTTTTTAGATTTAGTTGTGAACTTGATCTACTTGCTTATCTCAATTGTATAATTTTTTGAGGTAGAATTTGAACTTTATTGTTAACTTCTTTTATATGCATAAGAATACTACTTTCATAGTTCATGTTAGAAGTATATGATATTTCCACCCTAAGAATATTGATAAGCTTGTGAAGATCTGTAATAGTTGTAAATCTATTCTTATATTTGTCAAGAATAGCATCCATAATTTTTTAAATATCTCAAATATTTTTTTTTACATTTTGAATGATAGAACTTTAATAATCTCAGCCCTGATTAGATAGGCTTTGATATATTTGTTTGGATTGTCCATGCAATCAAAAATAGGATATTTGAAGTTGGATTGTCCATGCAATCAAAAATAGGATTTTTGAAGTTGGATTGTCACAAGTTTACCACTACCACTAAGGTCAATATGGAAAATATTAGGATGTTGACAATTAATATAAGAGGTGGATTTTTTGTTTGAAACTAGTCATATCTTTGATTAGGTGGCTAAGTTTGTGGTGCCTCAGCCACAAGTTGCAAGCTCATAACTACTTGTGCAAGCTCCTCATAATGATGCAACAGTTTTTGTAATACCTTTTTCATGTGATCTTCTATTGCTATGGTATATTATTATAATCAAATCTACAAATCTTTAGTTTCTATAGAGATAGTAACAATGGTGGCTTCTCCCAAGTTTTTGCTACGCTCATTAGATTTGAGACAATTGGAAGAAAATCTTTTGGTGTCTCTTCTTATTTTGGTCCCTCTATTAATCTTGTTTATAGATCTTGTGTTTATTCTCCTATAACTCCTTTCAAGGTTTTGTTACGCAATACTCTCCACCATGGCTGCCAAATTTTATTCAAGCTTTTGAGGTTGTGAACAAGTATGAGAAAAAACTTGGTAATAGTCGTGACCAACAACACGCACTGATCTGTAAATAAGTTATTTTATTACCAAAATTAGGAATTACATAGCCTCTGACCCAATACTATTTTATCTCAAGGTTCTATTCTCTGGTAATACTTTATTCCATTCTACTAATTCTTGACTACCATTGCAGTACTACTCCAATCCTTTAATACTCAGCCTCCCTAACCTGAATTTAAGAGGCGCCTTTGTGTTTCATGGTGGCATTATTAGTGCTGCACTTAACTTAACCTGCTTGTTGCCTTAACCTTGTGCTGTTTAATTACTATGGCGGATATCAAATTGCTTTGACTGGTAACAGATTGCTCACACTAGTAACAGTGAATCTATTTAATAATTAGGTGGATTGATTTAATATTTCTCTGTATATATACACTTTGTTTAGAGGTACAAGAATCAAAGTTTGTAAACAATTTGAGGTCTCCTGGACCTCCATCTCCTGATTAGCATAAATGCTTCTCATGCAGACAACACATCAAAACCTATTCCCAAATAAATCCCACACTACTAGTACAATTTCACATTCTCTGTGTTCTACTTCCAAACTCTGGCTCATCTCATTTTTGACATATACCCAGAAACCTACAAAAATATGTTAGGCTTCTGCCTAACCTCCAACCATGTCCCAACTACCATGGCTTCTCTTCTTCACACATTTGCTTGGAGCTCCTTGCATCCTTGCCCATGTCCACCCACACTCTGCTTGCCCTTCTCCGTTGCTCACCTCCACAAGTTGAGTACACCCCACCAGTTTTCTACAACACGAGAATGCTCTTGTGTATTTCTCCCACTAACTCAAGATAATAATTTTTTTTCCAAATGTGTTAGTATTTATTACATTTTTCCAAAATCACATTCTTTTGTCATGTAGGACCAAATTTTAAAATCAATGTTGGTGATGCCACTGAAACGTCCAGGCTAGAAAGTATGTATCTGTTTGGAAGGGAAAAATTGGCCAGCTTTGTCACTCATTAATTTTGAAATTCCATAGAAATCAAAGAAAGAACCAGAGCAAAAAAAAAAAAAAAAAAAAAAAAAAAAAGAAGAAGAAGAAGAAGCAAAGGCAAAAGTAGAAGGCAGATCGTAAAAACACTAATGTTGCCTATTCGTTGAATTCTGATAGTGCTTGCCTGATTAGGTCAAAGTCATCGCACGAAATGGACGACTTCGTCGATGCATCACTGATAATTTTTGGTTTGTCAATACACGATCAAGTCATCGACGTCGAGTAGACGACGTCCATTCCAGCGACGAAGAATCAACTCGTCGACGTTGCATGGCTTTGGCTTGAAGGCGCCAGCATTGCATTGAAGCCGCAAGGGGATGGCTCCGACAATGGCGCGCAGTGTTGAGATCGACGCCGCGTCGGTTTCCGTGGTCTGTATTGATCTTGACTTGCACTGCAGGTAGAGCATCTCAATTCTTGCGGTGCCAGTTTCAGTATTCGATGCGGGCTCTTTGACAGTCCACCCGTTCGAGAAAGCCTGAGTAAGTGTAGATGGTTATTGAAAGGTCTGAAACAAGTGCGGCGTTGTTCCCACGTTGACCGAAAAAAGTTGTGATGCGTTTGCTTTCAGCCAACACCGCAGATGAAGATCTTGTCGTTAATATATTTGGGTTCGAATAGATTTGCCCCACGGTTGACACTAGGCAAGAGCTAGTTTCTCAATCCAAGCAAATGGTGGCTTTTGGGAATTGCTGAATGAAGCAGCACAAATTTAGCTTCAGAAGCAACTTACAGTCCATAGATTGTCAACCTGGCAGTCTAGGTTGGAGCCGGTTATGACCAGCCTTCGTGCATGGTAGCACAATTGGCTGCTAAAAGGTCACGCAGGATCAAAGCTGTATCCTACTTTCCTGAACCATTAGCGCGCTGACATCTTGTAAACCGAGATTGTTTCGCAAAGTTCAGGCGTGCCTCATGCTGGTTTTGCTTCATCATGTAACACATGGCACCTCGGTCACTGCCTGGTTGTGCCCGACTTGACTTCGTCCTGCTACCTGTAAACTTCGTCGATGATTTGGCAGTCACGCTGCGAGATATATAACAGCTCCGTGGTGCTCATGAAGTATATTGTACTCTTTTCATCAAGGTGTTTTTTTGTCAAGAGATTTTGGAACGCATTATTTCAAACTTGTATAGCTACTTACTACACGATTTTGAGGTAGGCATACTTGAAAGACATCGAACTGCTGTGAATCGTGATCACTTTTCTATTGCATGATTTGCTAAAATTTCGGCGTTCACAAGACCTGAGGGATCACTTGTGGCTAGTGGAGCTTCTCTGAGTTTTGACGAACTTTGGACTTCGACACCGCCTCAGGGATCGCTCACAGTTTGATTGCTTCCCTCTCATCGAGTTATGAGTTTCGCTGACACTGGAAGTTGATGTGGTGCATTGTGAAGGTTGCCGATCGGTGCATTGAAGTTTTTTCGCAAGCGCCAGAGGAAGATCAAATTTTGACGAGGCGGTTAAGTTGTACAGCAAAGAGAAGACATGGCCACAGCAATGGACCGTGCTAATGTGGGTTACGACCAAGCCCGAATGGAAGGTAAGGGCGCGGTGGGGAGCACTGCGAACGCTGTCAAGGCTGCTGCTGGTCGCCCCACCGGTACGACAGTAAACCATCACAACGGTTTGGGTCACGAAACTACAGGATACGACCATTCTCATTATGGAACCGGGCTGGGGCACACCGAAGAGGAGCTCGCACGCTTGCGGAATCGCACTGTAGTGACAGGCGAGAGTGAGGCCTATGCGCCCAACCCCAACATCAAGGATCTGGTGAGTTGCAGATGCTTCTGATGCGATCCATGACGATTGATGTTGAGCATTCCGCATTTGTTGATTGTTGGAAGTGAGGTAATGATATCTGCTGGGCTCATCACAATCAATCTCGTTTGCAGCCCAAGGAGTTCGAGACCAGGGTGCAAGTCATTCAGAAATACCCCGAGATGAAGACCGTCGAGAAGACCGACATGGTGAAGGAGGTTCGCAACGATGAGCGAACTGTCACCGTCCCCAAAACTAGAGTTGTCATGGATGAGGTTGAGCGTGTTGATCGCGTGCCTGTCGTGAGAGAGGTTCCCAAGACGAGGATTGAGCAAGTGCACAGAGTTGTTACGGAGGAGCGGGAAGTGACCGACATGGTGCCTGTCGTGGAATACGTCGACACGCCCAGCGTTGAGCAAGTTCCGCGAGTGGTCACTGAAGAGGTGACGGAGCGAGTCACCGTGCCCGTTGTGGTGGAAGTTCCCGTTACTCGCACGGTCGAGGTGCCAACTGGAAAGTAAGTAACCCAGTCCTTCCGAACAGCGCAACGATGTTATCATTTTGAAAGAACTGCTGCTGTTATGTGCTGCTGGATTTTCCCGTCTCTGCCAGTCGATTTTGGTTGCAAAGAACTAACCACATGCCTCCTCGTGGTTGGGCACAGGTACTGCGAAGCGCCAGTTGAGCAAATCGTCAACCCCGGACACCCGACTGGCGTTACTGACGCTTTGCACAGAACTACCAGCAGCTCCTCATCTTCCTCCGACGAAGAAGTCGCGCATGATGCCCTGCCGACGCAGACCATCAATCCAGACGGGACAACAACTGTTGCTCCGGCAGGACTCAAGCACAAGAAGGGCTTGATGGCCAAGCTCCTCCATCACTAAATCGGTGACTGCTGTCACCATGTCATTCATTGGTCCATCCTCTCATCTAGACTGTAATCGAAATATATGTTGAGGTAAAAGATAAAGATGAATAGATAATAGTTAAAGTAGAATAAGTTACCTCGTAAAGGATATTACCTTAGGTAAGTTGCTAATGGTCAAAGGCTTGACTCTTGGCATATAGAAAAAGCATCCTATGGACATAGGATGTGGTCAAAGACAAAAAGTCAAAGTCAAGAGGATAAAGTGTGTCCTAGGGAATATCCAAAGAACTAGGTAAGAGTAATTAGTATATGGCATAGAATACCCTCGTGGTATGTAAGATGCTATAGGATCCTAGGATCCTTGGATACCCTCGTCGTATGAGCCAAAGGATCCAAGGAGCATATGTGTAAAAGTCAAATGGTGGAAGAAGTCCTTTTAGGGCAGCAACCACCACCTATAAGTAACGAGAGTTGGAAGAGAGAACCATCTCATTCCACACTTCTCTTATGTGCAACCTTGCTGATTTCTACTTACTTGTGTTATGCTTATAGTGTTCTTTTTCTCAACAATATATCCCTACGCATGGAAGAAAGACATGCCGCAAGCACTGCGCTGCGCCGCGACGCATTTTCACACAAATTGTAATGAAAATGTAATTCATACCAGGAAACAAGACAGTGCTTGATTATCATGTTGTTCGGCAACGTTGGACTGCCGGTGTAACTGATCAGAATGTGTCGATCATGTTGATTTGTGCCGTAGCTTATGCCAGAATTCCACTCGATCGATGGGTAGTAGCTTGTGTGTTCGGTGATTGAAATGTGAGTAGTCGGTGGGATATTTTTTGGAATCCAGAAACTTTTGAATCATATTCGAAATGAATAAACATGAGACTTGGAAATAAAACTTGTTTGGAGAATTGATGAATGAGAACATTATGTGTAGCTCCTTGTCAATGTGGTGATGGCTTGGTATAATAGTAAACAATTGAAGGGAAAGCTGGAAAAACAGACTAATAAACAAACTGAAAGTATTTCAAGTAAAAAAGGAATTGAATTAGTCTACATTTGATTTAAAGTTTTCAATTGTGGATGTAATAGTAGTACAAAAAGTATAAGAATAATTATAAAGTTTGACGAATCCTTGTCTTGCACTTTAAATGAATTTTGCCCCACATTGGCTCTGGCATGGGCTTTTGTAACATGGAGAAACTCATGTGCAACATTATGCTTCCTAGGAATGGTTCTTGCTGTAGGCGTAGACTCTTATGACCTATGGATGACCTAAGGAGTCTTTGACTAGTCTCTCAAAAAAAGTGGAAAGAGTACTTGATTAACTAAATACTAATTCCGAAGCATCAAAGAAATCTTTGTGTAATATTAAAGAAAACATCATTGAATGTTTTTCTTATGAACTTTACAATTTTTTTTGGAGTACAATTACTTGTTCAAAAGTAGTTTTAAAAAAAAACTAGTATGGTGCTAGTTAGAATAGTTAATTGTAACGTTTTTTTTTATTTTATTTTATATACAATTTTTAAGGTAGCACTGTGACCAACTTAATCTAAAAAAATCAGCAAAGAATATTTCTACTTTGTAAAATAAAATCAAAAGAATAAATTAAAAATCAATGTTTGTTTTTGTATATCAAACAACAATAAATTTACACATTTAGGTGAAAAATTTGCAGTTTGATTTTTTAAGTAAATTTTAACAATGACTTTCTGAAATGCTTTAGAACAATATGACTTCTAACATGGATAATCTTAAGAAGTATTATAGATAAATTTGTGGAGATTCAAATTTTTTGGAGCAATTAAACTTCAAATATATTTTTTTTTGAAGAGAGCCTCTGAGTCCAGCTGTTAAGAGTGTAGTATAGGTGGCTATTGATGTAGGAGAGATATTAATGGAGGAAAAAAAACAATATATATATATCTAAATTAATATATCTAAATATCATTTTACAATATATTTTAATTATGTACAAAAAAGAAAAGAAAAAAAAGAAAAAAAGAAAAACTAATATAATCATTAAATACACACACACACATATATATATATATATATATATATATATAATTACAAAAACTTGTCTTTGAACTATAGTTTTTGTTTTGAAGCAATCTATAATATCAAGTATTGTAAGAATTTGGTTCATGTAGAAGTTAAACAAAGTTAAATATATGGTCAATGTTTCATAGATATTGGATTGTTTGTTTCATTTTTTTATTTTTTTCACAACCAATAATAATTAGATCAAGAATTATATATAAATGATAAATACCAAAACATTCTAGTACAGCAATAGACAAAGATAAATTGGTACCATCTTATGTAGACATGGGCAACTATAAAACAATGAAAGATCTTTACTTCTTAGGGCATTTGGATTGAGTTTATCAAATAAAAGAAACAAAATTATTGGGTAGATGCCCCCCTTTTGAGGCATGGATATGCCCCACACACTCATCTTAGCAAAAAATAACTAGTTTTGATTTTAAATCATGATTCTTGTTATAATTATCATTTTAGTACCAAAATTTGATATACCCTTTTCCATCTTTATTCTATGGCTCTATATTACCTTATCCTTCAATTCTTTTGTCCTTGCAAAATTTTGTTAAATTGGTTTTTTTGAATAATGAAAAAATTGAAGATTGTGTTTTTATAACTAATATTATTTATGAATATCAACATTTTTTCTAAATACATAAAAATAATTATATATATATATATATATATGTATATAATTTAAATCAGTTAGTTTTTGCAAGGTGTGTATGCACAAGAATTTCCACACAGTAAAAAGCAGGTGGCCACCTAGCAGTTCACTAAATAAAACTTCTCAATTCCAACCTATCAGAGAACTTGAAAGATACCATCTCCCACCTTCTTTCATAAATATAAAATATAACAACCTCCACAAATGAGATTTTATTTCTCAATACTTGAATCACTATTAAAATCTATCCAACAATGTTAGTAGAATGTGGTTACTTTTGCAAGGGATCATCATGTGGCACTCATGGATTGAGCACAATGACGTGGCATTTAATGGTAGATATTGGCAAAAGGAAAAATGAAAAATATGATGTGGCTTGGTCTTGTTGATTCTGGGAGGCTCGCTTGGGTATTAACACAGGCTAGAATCAAGTAGTTCTCCGAGGGGAAATCAATTTTACTTGATGATTTTCAGAAACAATGGTACTACAACAAGGTTGTGGCATCGTGGGTCATACCAACGCCTAAGTGGAAACTAGACTGTCCTAAATTAGAATAGTCATGATGTCTAGGTTGTAAATGTATCTCGACCCAACTGGACCTAATCAGGCTGCTTGTATTTATTCACTTCTATGCAGAAGTATTCCTTCTCGTGTCAAAAATAAATAAATCAATCAATAACTAAATAAATCTATCCAACAACTTTACACACACACACACACACACAAATAAAGACACAACTACCTCCCCGGATTTATTGCAAGCAAGTCAGCTGGCAAGCCACACCGAGGCTGTGAGTACAACAGCAGTAGCATCAGAAAAGACGCAGGATTGCATGATCGGGATATGACGCCGAGGGAATCGCACGCTACTGTCACACTGCATCCCCACGTAGAGATAGGACGCCGAAAACCAGGGGAATTAGGACAGGATATCCGCTGTTTTCTGAGAAAACCTGTGCCATAAGGTGGGATCCGAAGGGGTGGTGGAATGCGGATTTGGAGGTGGCGATGTGCAGATGTGGGAACCTCCGCATGCCCCACTTGGGCAATCCTCCTTCACTCCCTCCGATACTGTATCGTACATGTGGCGCTGCTCTAAGAGTGGAAAGACCCGGCCAGGTCCTTTGGTCGCACCCTTGGCTCCGTTAGGTGACTAGAACTCCACATTTGGCATTGCCGCCTGGTTCTGCTGCAAAGGCGGTATCGAATCCAGGCGCGAGGATGGCGCAGCTTGCACGCCTGGGATGGCTCAAAAAGTGTCCGCCCAAGCCCCCGGAACGCGAGATGGTTTATAGCCAAGCCAAGTGGACGTCTGGCACGTTGGGTGTGCAGCGCAAGGAGTTGTCTGCACTAGGGTTGTCCGCATCCACAGGCGTAGCCGCCACTTCGGTGCTCTTGGCGACTTCAATGTGGATATCGCAGCTCGAGCCCCCCTGCGAATGCCATGAGAGTAGTCTCGATTATCTCGAAAAGCCGTTGGACCAGGAGTATCTTGGATTGACACAGTCCTCAAGCCATAGCGTGCCGAGCCAGTTCGTCCCCTGGGAATCTGCAAATCTTACCCTCCTCTGTTTCACTCTTTCTGCTACAGTTTGGCGGTTGATTGCAGTGTGCACCGTGTATCTTGTGGATTCATTGCACCTTTCAGTGTAAGTCGCATGTTTTACTGCAGTGGATATTTCAATTCGATGGGTGTGAATATTTATTAGAATTTAAACACCGTTATATTTATGCGTAATATTTTTACACGATATCCCGCAGTACTGAAGCATGCTTTTTTGGTTTCCTACTCAAATGATTTAGAAGGATGTTGTGTACAACCAGGTACCTGTTCGATTAAATGGAGTAGAATTGTCGCTGTCCCAACCGTTCCAACCACACTGTTTCCTGATGAGTCACTTCTGTTTTGACCGTCAATAAATACTCTACTCTTGAGTAAAAGAGTCACCATATCCATGTAGAAAGATCTTTAGAGATCGATCCCTAACAGTACGTGGAATGCATTTAAACCAAATGCCAGTATTGTTAAATATTAACATAGTCGTACTGTGTTTTTAATTTGTAATTTGCCTTGTCGAAACCTACTCAATCCTTGCTTTTTAATTTAGCTTCTGAGTTTCTATTTATACGATTGTTTATTTGTTGATTGCTTCGGGAATGGTTATTCAATTCTCTTGGAATTAATTTTTACTCTGGAGATTTGAGCATTGAATCAGACGTGTAACACAATACTATAAAGTCACGTACTTTTAATTCAAAAGGAATGTACAACTTAAAGTTTACTCGATGTGAAGTTATAAGCCAAAATGATGAACTGTACACCGCCATCAGAAGCAGAAGCTCACCGCTGTTTACCTGGGAGATGAACAGACCTAGCTCCATCCACAAATGGTCCTCGTCCAGTTGAAACTCCTAATTAATTAGAGTGCAGTAACCAAAACGTCCAACCACTACAGAACTCACACTTCGCCGCGTGGATGCTGCCACTCTTCCCAAATGCTGCCCATCCGCAGGCATGCCTTGCGCTTTGCCGCTGGCAACACATGGCAACCCGCTGGGGCCTGGGTCGGGCGTTGGCCAGAACCAGGGCGGTCTACTTGTCAACTCATCCGACCCCTTACCTTGTGCTTTATAAGCATGGTGACTTCATAAGTTTTGTAGAATCGATTTTTTTTCCATTACTCTAATTGTTGTACAGTTCCCTCCATCCAGTTCGTGATCGCTCGAGGACTTGATTCTAATCGTGAACTTTCCTTCCTACTGAGTTCACAGGTGCTGACTGGTTCTTTTTGGTGTTCATGGTGTTCTGAGGTTTGCTTGCTGTTCTCTGGTTTTGAGCTCTGTTTTACAGGTTTTCCATTGGGAAGCAATGTAGGCTTCACCGTAGATGTTCCCTCGCTATGCAGTTTGGTCGTGTAGCTGGTCTGGATATAGTACACTTGGTCAGAGAAGACGAGTTCTCTTGTCTGCAGCATTACACTGTGATGAGATTTTGGTGACATGCTTCAGACCGGGACAGAGTAGCATTTGAGCTGTCGGCTGATTTTAGGTTGGTATTGTAACTATTTGCAGGAGGCAATTTAGTGGTAGATATGGCCACCGCAACTGAGCGTGCGACTATGGGGGCCGAGGCTGCTCGGATGGAAGGCAAAGGCTTGGGAGGCAGAGCAGCAGCTGCTGCTGCCGCAGCAGCTGATAGAAACCATCAGCCAGGAATGGGGCCGCTCAATGACGGTTTACATTACGACGGCACTCCTTTAGCCCATGATGCAACCTCCGTCGGAGACAGAGGCTTACTCGATCACCACCATCACCACGCTGGCGGGGTGTTGGGCCACACCGAGGAAGAGATGGCGCGGCTGCGAACCCGCACTCACATAACTCACGAGGGCGAAGCCTACTGCCCCAACCCCAACATAAGGGACCTCGTAAGTATCTCGTGCACAGTTTGTTTCCTCTTTGCTTAGTCTTATTTTATTTCTTCCCTATGTCCCAATACTCAATCTCCTGGTCGCAAGAAGTGGAGAGCATCGGCGAGAAAATGTCTGTCCTTACCTCAATTATCTGGTGGACTTTCAGCCAAAGGAGTTCGAGACAAGAGTACAAGTCATCCAGAGGTACCCGGAGATGAAAACAGTGGAAAAGACCGACTTCGTGAAAGAGGTCCACCACGAGGAACGCACCATAATGGTGCCAAGGTCTAGAATCGTCCACGACGAGATAGAGAGGATCGACCGGGTGCCAGTGGTGCGGCAGGTGCCCAAGACGAGGATCGAGATCGTGTACCGCGTGGTGGAAGAGCAGCGCGAGGTCACGGACATGGTCCCCGAGGTGGACTACGTAGATGTGCCTAGAATTGAACAGGTACCTCGCGTCATCACCGAGGATGTGGAGGAACGGGTTGTCGTCCCTGTGGTGAGGGAGGTCCCCGTGACCCGCATGGTGGAGGTCCCCACTGGCAACTACTGCGAGGCACCAGTCGGAGAGTTCGTCAACCCCGGAGACTTCAATCTGCTGCACCACAAGCACGGTGGCCTCCTGCACCGGACCAAGAGTTCGTCGTCTTCATCGTCGTCTTCCTCGGACGGCGAACTCCGAAGTGGCGATGTGGTGCACAACGCCGACGGCACTGTCACCAGTCCCAGAGGCCACCGGAAGAGGCATGGCTTGCTGTCTCGCATCATCCATCACTAGATTTTGCCCTTCCACCCTCCGACTAATCGATTGTTTCATCGATATTCACATTGGTTTCTCCATCATGGCGTATTCTTCTTAGTCTAGACTCTGCATATGTGAATATGTGCAGTCTCGGTTTTTTCACTTCTGGACTCACCTAGCACACAATCGAACTGGCATGGGCTTTGGTGTATAGAGCAATGTAATTTTTCGGATACTTATACAGTCATGTTGGTTTTTTCCTCCGCAGTGAAATAAACTGTGTTGGTGATTTGTAAAGCTTCATTTTGATGGTCTACCCAAATACACATCCATAAAGAATGTGCACTTTATCTATATTATTCAAAATTCATCATATTGTACATGCAACTTTAGGACAGTTGATAGCCAAATCTTGTGGTGGCATTAGTTTAATCCCAAAATAAATATAGTAAAAATTCAATCGTAAAGAATAAAAAATCCTAAATAATTCTGTGAAAATTTTGTTGTAATCTTTTAATATCCAAAGATTTCAAAAGCCATAGCAATTTCAAAACATATTCCTATGCACAAAACAAAAATTCTCAACATAAAAATTCTTATCTATATTTAGTAAATGAAATAGTTATTGTTACTATTACTATTTTTGACCCAAAATGGCCTTTACCCATGGCATTAATAGAATAGAAGTTGCAACATATAACTTAACTCTTGATATCCTACTAAGAGGTATTAAGAGTATTGTGTAGAGTAGCTATTATTTCTTAATTTAATAAACTTTTTTGAATTAGTACATCACATTATAGTACTTAAGAGTTCTATGTAATTGCAGTGTGCACTCCAGAACTTAACAAAACTTTTGCCATCCAAGATTTTTTATATCTCTTGAGTAGAGTCTCTTTGTATTTGAGATGTTTTGCCAATTTATTCCTCTTGAATTTCTAGCTAATTTGCCCATATTCTGATAAACCTTATCACATTAAAGTTCTAGTAACAAGGTCAATCAGTACTTCTTTTTCAAAATAAAATATATCCTTTTAGATCCAAATGGTCTATATACATAATCCTTATAATAGAGACCAAATCTTGCAAACAATGCTATTATTTTTAATCATTTCATTTAAAATGATATTATGAAAATATCGAAAAGTTGTACAAGTGATTAAGACTGATTAATATGTCTAAAAACAAAAACTTACATCAATAATTTTAATGTATGTTTTAATAATAAAAATTAAAAAAAATTAATTAAAAATATATAAATTAAAACTACATTTTTTAGAAAGAATTTGATTCAAAAGCATAAAAAAAATGTTTCTATTTAGTAAAAATATTATATTTTTTATAATCTAATTTTTTTAAGGTTAAAAATACCAAATGAGAAATTAAAAAAGAGTTTATTTATACTATAGAATATAAGTATATAGATAATAAAAATGATTATAATATCTCAAAAAAAAATAAAATTGTTATTTGACTTCTTAAGACTAAATAATCTTAATTTTGGATCTTATTTATGCTATAATGTTTGAGTTCTAAAGAACTTTTCTAGGCAAGACTTTGAACATCACAAATAGTTATGATAACTTATAAAAATATTTTTTAAAAAATACTTCTAAATGAAAATGAATTTTTTTTGAAATATCTTTAAAAATTTTAAAATATTACAAAAAAATTCTAAAATATAGTATTTTTTTTCAAAAAATCAAGAAAGTTTTTTAGATGTATATTTGGATATTTAAGCTATTATAGATATATCATGTGATTATTGAAACTTTTTCTTTGAAAGTAAAAAATTCAAAGAAAAAGTATTGGAAGCAACTTACAATTTGTATCAACAACATGAATCATAACAAAATTCTAAAGTGGAAATACACTCTTGTAACACTCAAAATGAGAAAGTAAATAAATCAAATATAAATATAAAATAGAAATTAGAACAACTATTATCAAATACAAAGAAATTAGAGATTCTCCAACTAAGATAAGAACACAAAAAAGAAATTAATAAGAGTGAGTGAGGCTTAGCTCTTATCTCTACACATATCATCTAATTAAGGAGCTAAATAAAAATGTTCTATAAGTCATTCAACTTGTGTTGAATTTTCAAAATATATGTCTAACTTGTAAGATGAATTTCTTATATGGCCAACTTCTACTACAAGTAGAAAATATGTCAAATATGTGACCAAATTGTAAAATAAGTTGTCAACATGTGCAATACATTGCTAAATTGTTGGCCAAGTTTTCAACCTCTCAATCATCTACAAACACTCATATAGTCAATACTACATCTATGAGACTTCTGAAAAGCTTTTCTAAAAGATTTTATCAAATTTACTTACTTTTACTTCTACCTAGCTCTACTTATCTTATTAATTACTAATATTAATATTGATGTCCATAAAAACTTAGCACTTAAGCCATAAGCATTATGGTCTCTAGAAAGCTTCTATAAGACCTATATAACTAATATGTATAGAGATAATATGAAGAATATCTTCAATCTTATTAATACATTTTTTTTATTTTTTATTTTTTATTTTTGTCTTGATTTAAGATTTTTTTTCTTTGTAATTAGCAATAGCCATTGTAGGTTTATTTATTTATTTATTATTTAATTTTTTTCTTCTTTCAATGATATGAAAGTATATTGTATTTCTAAAATATTACCTTTATTTATGTATTTGATAATAATAAATAATAGAAAATAATAAATATTTAAAAAATTGATTCTATATAAAATAATTAGAAATTAAAAAAATTAAGAAGATACTAAATAATAAAAAATATATATTATATAATTTTATTTTATTTTTTATTTTTAATTTTTATTTTTTATAATTATGTGTATGGATTCGTCATGTCAAAACTTTCTAAGATCAAAAGTTTATATTATTGGTCATATGACTAAGTAACAAAGATAATCAATTATGCTTTTTGGTTAAATTACAAATAATTAAAATTCAAATTCGAACTAACCTTAATAGAAATGTATACATTTTTTTTGTGATGTGTAATGCCAATAATGATTTGATAGAATTTTATTAGTTAAGTTTTTTTCTTGTAATTTTAAATCATCTTGCTAAATTGAGGTTCTATTAAAAATTATTAGAATATTCTTAAAGTTGGAAAATATTAATAAAATAATCTTTGAATAATATCTTTGATAAATGTTTTTAAAAAATAGTTTGACTTTTACATATTCATTAGTGAAGCAATAAATATATACAATGGATGTATAAAAGATTTGATTTTATGTCTACCTAAAGATTATTGATTTAATGATGCTATGTTATTATATTTTTTGTATAAGATTTAACATTATTCTAATTGAGAGCATATAAATAAGGTATTTGAGGTTTAACTTTAGAAATAGTCTACATAAGAGAAAAATTATGGAAAAGAATACACCAATTAGAATTCTCTTTTATTAAAAAGTTGATAATGAATCTAACTTTTGATCCTGGAGTTGGATAGCTTTGATGTTGAAGTTCAATCACAAGTTGTACTTGATTGATAAATCCTTGAAATTTGGATCTTGTACCATAAAACTTCTCGCGCAAGGCAACTCTTGATTCTCTAATACTTGAAGGATGTTCCACCTTAGGTGGAGGGACATGATTTAGTGCAGATGTTGAAGCAGCTCTAATCATCTCTATAATCTCTTTTCCTACCATTCTTGTTGATCCTTGTGGTGGTAAGCTAAGTTGATGCATCGCAAACATCAACTCCCTCAATTGTTCTTGCATTTTTGCCATTGCCCTCTCTATTTCAACAAGCTTTGCTATAATAATATTTAGAATAATATCTAATATGACTCAAGATAAGTAGAAGAAAGGACTTGAGAACAAGAAAAATTCTAAGAATAATATCAGTTTAGAAGAGGGTAATCGGCAATTCCTAATATACTTATGTCTTATGATGAAAAAGGGATAATCTACACTTAATCAAGATAAGAAAAATCTCTGATATTATAAGTGCACTTTTGTCAATCTATCAAAGACATGGACTAAAAGATGATGTATAAACCTAATGAAATCCATATTAAAGAAAGAGTAATAAAATAGAAATAAGAAAGTAGGTTGTTGTACTATAAAAGCTTACAATATATAAAAATTAGTTAAAATATATTATATGTTAATAGATCTAGATATATGTTAGAATGGTTAATAGATTAATTTAATGAGAGTGCATTTAAGAAACTTTATTTTGAGTTTTATCTTTTTTGATTATAGCATTTAAAAAAAAAAAATTGTAAGACCTAAATGTTTAGTATAAAGCCTTGAGATGAGATTAGAGCCTAAAGAAGAAAATCTTAACTAATAGGAGGCTTATTGGGAGGGATGTAAGTAAGGCATGGTTGGAGGAAGGCAAGGAATGGAAAACTTCTTTCATATTGGTCAAAGGCCAGTTCTAATGGACTTCAAGGAGGCTGCCCGAGGCCTTATCAAGGATTAGGGTTTCTTTTTCGAAAATATTCGAGCTTTGGAGGCTAGGATCAGCAAGTTCAGGATTTTGGATATAATTTGGATGAAGAACTTGTGTGATTTTGAGTTTTTGTAAAAGAGATATAGGTATTTAAAGTTAAGGTGTCAAATTTGTACCTACTGTCACTCTTTGAAGCATAACATATTCGTATAAAGAGCAATGAAAGATCGGCGACTAGAGTTGGAGAGAAAACTTTCTTTTCTATACTTTACATGTACTAATTGAAAAATTCAAAGTCTCAATGAAGGAATTATAGGGCATTGAAGACAGCACATGTAATTCAAAAGTAGTAAGTGAGTTATTTTGTTGATAGTAATGATTGGAGTCATATCTTGAGTTTCTGGACGAATTTTTGGCTCAAATTTTTCATAAGTGTGAGTTATTAAGTTAAGAAGTTATAGATCAAAGTTTCATAGTATTTAAGTACTTATTTTTTGAGACATGAAGAAATTAGCATGCGGATGTATGTAAGCTAGGATTTAAAGTTACTGTAAGGGTTTTGGTAATATCTCAAGATCCGTAATGAATTTGTAGTTGAATTTTTTTGTAGTAGTTTTTGAGAGTATATCAGTACTTCATGTAAAATTTTAGGTTATTTGGACAGTCCGATCATGAGTTATGAGGTGTTGAAGTTTGGGAAATATTTCTCATAAGGATATATAAGGTTTTAAGATACTTTATCATATATTTGGATGTTTTTTTGGTACTTGAGCTTATGTATTCATGTAATTATCCTAAAAGAGAATATATTATATATATAAACTTGGTACTTTTATATCTTAGACTTCATTGAGCAATTAGTGGCAACGAAAAGCCCAATGCTTTCTGAAGGCAAACTTTCTCTATCCTGACAACGTATATGTGAT